AACAGAGGAGTAAACAGAGGAGTAAACAGAGGAGTAATAGGGGAGTAAACAGAGGGGTAAACAGAGGAGTAAACAGAGGAGTAAACAGAGGAGTAATAGGGGAGTAAACAGAGGGGTAAACAGAGGAGTAAACAGCACGGTTGGGGTGAGAGGTATCTTTGATTATACTTCTCTCCCTCCGTGAGCAGAGTTAGTGATGATCGTCTTTGATGGAATGGAGCAGGACACCAGTGATGTATTGGGCCGTTTTCACCCCCCGCTGGAGGGGCTTCTGATCTGAGACGGCGCAGTTTCCGAACCGCACTGTGACGCAGTTTGTAAAAACACTTTCAATAGCGAGGCGGTAAAAGTTCAGTAGGATCTGGGGGATAAGCGAGCTTTCTTCAGTTTCCTCAGGAAGTAAAGGCAATGTTGCGAGTTTTTGATCAGTGTTTTTGTTGAGTGTCCAGGAAAGATCCTCAGAGATATGGACACCCAGGAACTTGAAGCTGGTCACACGCTCCACCTCGTCTCCATCGATGTGGATGTGTGGATGTGTGTGGGTATATGTGTGTGTGTGTGTGTGTGTGTGTGTGTTAGCTACGAAAATTTAAATTCATTCTAATTTAAATTGGATTTGTTGGATTTGTTGGAAATTCACACTTGGCTGAGAGTCGCACTGAAATCGAACAAAACAGCAGGAGAGAGCTCTGTGTGTGTCTGAGTGTGTGTGTGTCTGAGTGTGTGTCTGAGTGTGTGTGTGTGTGTGTGTGTGTCTGAGTGTGTGTCTGAGTGTGTGTGTGTGCGTCCATAGTTTCCATCCTGTCTCGCCTCAGCTACCGAGTTTTTCTCCAGATCCTTAAAAAGGCCTCCGACTGAAACCACAGACACACACATTTTGCCAAGCCAAAGTAATTTTTTTTTTTATTTTTTCCAAACTGTTCCCGTGTGTATGTGTGTGTGTGCGTGTGTGTGTGTGTGTGTGTGTGAGTGTGAGTGTGTGTCAGCACATTCCAGCCTGCAGCCTGCAGCCTGATGTGATTTTAATTTGCAAATTTAATTCCTGACCTCATCCTCCTCCTCTCTCCTACCTGAAGAATTCCAGAGCTATTTTTGTCTCTCTCTCTCTCTCTCGCACACACACACACACACACACACACACTCGCACACACACACACACACACACACACACACACAGCGTGAATTATTTTTAGAGCAGACAGAAGGTGTGTTTGTTATCTGAGTGATTGTTGTGTGACTGCCCAGTTATTCAGACAGGAAGTTCCACACAGGATATGACATCACACTTAAGTATGTGTTGGTCTCTGGAGTGTGTTACTGCTTTCTTTAGGATCACACAGTGCTGATGTGAAAACTCCTAATAAAGCCATAAAGGAAGTGATGTCACAGCTGAAACAGATGCCAGTGTCTCAAAGCACAAATTAAAATATTAAAAAGTGTCTAATAAACAGCAGCTTACATAAAAATACAGGAAGAACACGTGATAAAACAATCAAACACTCAGTGAGACCAGCTTTAACCTGTGTGTGTGTGTGTGTGTGTGTGTGTGTGTGTGTGTGTGTGTGTGTGCCTACATAGCAGCCTTCACATTCACTGTCTGATACTGAGACTGAAAATAACATCACAAGATAAAAACAGGAACGTCTGTTTAAGAGAGACAGTGATAGAGACAGTAAAGCAGGTAGACAGACAGACAGACAGAGTGAGTGAAACAGGGAAAGAATGAGACGGAGAGAGAGAGAGAGAGAGACAGGGAGAGTGAGACAGGGAGAGTGAGACAGGGAGAGAGAGAGAGAGAGAGACAGGGAGAGTGAGACAGAGAGAGTGAGACAGGGAGAGAGAGAGAGACAGGGAGAGTGAGACAGAGAGAGTGAGACAGGGAGAGTG